GTCACCAGTTCCAGTTACTAGGAATGGTAACTGGTCACCAGTTCCAGTTACTAGGAATGGTAACTGGTCACCAGTTCTTTTTACCAGTTACTAGGAACAATGAGAACTGGAACTGTCCCACCCCTACTATTTGGATCATTCATAGCATGTAAAACTTTAGTTCTTGATGAAAAGTCAATCAATTGACTTTAAAATTTGACTTGATCAATAAGGAAATATCTCGAACTAATAACTAAAGAATTCCAATAGAATGATTAATATTCGGTATAATTCTTTTGTAGACTGGTCTTTCGTTTCATTTTTTAGATGTACCGATTAATCAAGTTTTAATAAGTTTAGGTATTAATGTACTGATTGATACACATGACTAATTCCAGAAAATGAATTCAATGGTCTACCCTATTTTGGATTTCGAATAATTATTGACTAAATTGCTACTGAATTCACCGCATACTGTTAATGTCGCTATAATACGGTCTACCCTTGTGGAGCACAGAAATATTTTTGTAGAGATTTTCTGAATGTGATTTTGTTGGACGATAAGGGCGAGTAATTTTGCTAAGCCAGGGGATGAATCTAAAGCTATTCCATTACACTACTTGCACAACAGTTATTGAAAAACAAAACGTTTTTGCTATAATTAGTTGCCATTTAGATGATCTATCGTACTGCTATAAACAGTTATTGAGGATATTTTTTGACAGGAAATTGTCTGACACCCACTCGCTAGAAGTAAAATGAATTTTTTAATTTAAATATGTCCTCAGCTCTTTCAGTTAGAAAGAGCTTTTCGGACTTTTCTCCTAGATTTGTTTGAGTTGGAGTCAAAATAATGGAGATAAAAATCTGAAGTATATTTTCATTGTCTATTTCGTATTTTAATGATGAATAAGACTTTTTATCCTTTATTTGTAGATTTGTTTTTAGTTGTGACAATGGGAAAAGTTCATAGACGAAAAATGGCTCAGAAATTTCTTTACCATGTTAATCGAAAAAAATTATGGCAAAAAGAAAAACAAAAACGTCTAGTCCGTGTTCAAAACTGTACATTAATTCGGGATAATTGGGATGATAAATTATCCGTGATGAATAATTATGCGGAGTTTTCTCTTGTACATGATGTTAATAAAGCTTTTCCCATACCAAAAACAAAACAATTAATAGATCCAAATCATGATAAGAAGGTAAGTTTTGAGTTGTAAGTGTACTTATATAATTAAACATTGTCTTTTAAAATTTAGAAAATTGAAAAAAAGAAAAAGGTGCCAGATAAAATTCATATACGAGAAGAAATGGAAGAGGATGCAAACACTGAGAGAGTCAAATCATTAAGAATATCTGATCCAAATCGATTGTAAGTTCTTCTAGAATATATGCTGTCATCATCTTGAAAGAACAATTGTTCTATGTGTTATTCTAGATTTTGTATTTATATGTTAGAAAAATATGGTACAAATTATCTAGCAATGTCAAAAGATCATCGAAACGATTATCAAGAAACACCAAAACAATTAGAACGAAAAATGAAAAAATTTATGAATGTTAAAAAAGCATATCAAAAATATTTAGATGAGAAAAAAGCGGGCAGAGATTTTTTATCCGAGTTCGGAATGAACGATTGATTAATTATCTTTGTCTGTTATTCTACACACTAAATGTTGTTTTGTTAACTTTTATTAAAATTAAAGAAAATTATTTCTGATACTTTTCGAACATATTAAAAATGCATACTTATCCAAAACAAAGTCATAATAGAAATTACGTTGTTATACAAACACAGAGTGGAACGAGTAAAGTTCGTTATTTCTACAGTTCTAACCACAATCCATAAGAAAAACGATCGACTCTTTGTTTACTAAGTTGAAAATGCCTTCAAGGATTCTTAAACTGTTGGTTTATTGCACGATTGTACCTGATGGAGTTCTGCCATTATAATGTATCGGTACTATACCACTGTTCACTCAAATTTTAGCAGAAACTGACTCTACAGAGAATCATAGAATGTATGGATAGTATTAGATTCTTTCTTAATGCGTGTAGCTCATTTTGTTTCACTTGAACATAAACAAAAATGAATAGTTTCTAATTCGATTTCAGATAGAGTTTAACTTAAAATGGCTCAAATAATTTTACAACTCGGACAAGCCGGGAATCAAGTAGGACAACAGATTTTTGAGACAATAATGACAGATAATATGTCCTCTCACTTAAATTTGCCTAGTGCACTCAGTAAAACGGATAAACGTTTTTATGAATCTTATATAAATGAATCACTATCACGCTATTTTATTCAACATGATGACAATAAAAATGAATTAACAGCAAGAGCTGTTGTAATCGATACAGAATTAAAAGTTATTCAGCAATTATTAACAGATAAAAGTAAAAAATGGAAATATTCATCGAAATGTGTTCACGAAGGTAGAAATGGTTATAATTATATTTCTCTCATTACACGCTAAATGTATCAGCTTTAATCACAAAATTTATTTACTCAGACATCTATAGTTTATGCATGTAGGTCGATTGGGTTCTGGAAATAATTGGGCATGCGGTTATCGAAACGGTACATTGTCTGAAGATAATATTTTGAATGCATTAAGGTGGCAATTGGAACAAGCTGATCGTGTCGATGTTATTCTACCAATCTTATCATTAGCTGGTGGAACAGGTGATTTCTAAATACCTCATATTTATCTATATTTGTATTTTATTGTTTTTTAATAGGTTCTGGTTTGGGAACATATTTTGTTGAATGTGTTCGCGATGAATTACCTCGTTCATTTATTTTAACATCGGTCATTGTTCCTTACACATCCGGCGAAGTTGTTGTACAAAATTATAATTCTCTATTAACATTATCTCATTTATATCGCTCAAACGACGGAATATTTGTATTTGAAAATGACATATTACAACACTATGCAAAAAAACTTGTCGCCTATTCAGGCATGGATCGTTCAACAAATATTCGTGATATGAATTTAATACTTAGTCGACATTTATGCAGTTTTTTACAACCTATTCTATCGTCGACAACAACATCAACATTCTCTGAATTAAATCAATTGTTAGAATGTCTTGTACCACATGCATTTTATAAATTGTTAACAATTCGTTGTGTACCACAATTATCAGAGCAAGCAATTGATTTTAGTTCCTATAAATGGTCTGGTTTAATTCGATCATTACGTCAGATGTATTTGAATAATTCTTATCTTGATGAAGGACTTGATTGGACATTGAAACCACATCAAACCCATACAAAATCCATTTCTAATTGTTTTCTTGCACGTTCATCGGTAGATGTTACAAATTTGCATGATGAAATTGATAAATATTTTCAAAATGAACATTTGTATACTCAGAATGTGTTAGTATTCGATAATTTATATTACAAAACATTTTCGTGTGAAAAAAAATCCTATTTAAATTATGAAAAATTTTTAACATTAATAAGTAATTGTCAAACACCAATCTATTCAATGGATAAAATATTAACGAAAGCATGGCAATTATATTCTCAAAAAGCATATTTACATCATTATATGAAGTATGATATTGATGAACAAGAATTTCTTAGTTCGTTTATCAATGTCGAACAAATTATTCAATCATACAAACAATTGTAATTGTCAGAATTCTTAATAATTTTGTTAATATTTTAATAATTATAATGGTTGAATTGTTTTGTACTATACACTTGATATATGATTCAATCATAACTGTTTCAATTGTACATTCTCTGTCAGTTATTTAGAGTAATTTATATTTTAATTAAAAACATATTAGATATATATTCTACAAAGAAAGGTGCTACTATACGATTTTCTTGTCTCGAATAATAACGCAACACATCAATGATTCAAGTTTCTGATTGTCGTATTTTTTAGGATTGAAATCGTCGTGCACAACATTAGCTTTATTTTTTGAGAAAATCTGCTTTTTCATTGATTTTTATAGTCAATCAAGAGTTCATAATCCTCTTCTTTATATTCAATATAAACCCTCTTCAATGAAGATATGAGAAATTGTTCGAGAAACAGTTTTCAGAATGATTATTCCAGCAATAACAGTGTTCATACATTTCAGACAATATCTAAATTTGTATGTAGAATTTTTTGGAACTACACGTAACAAATAGAACAAAGGTCGGAATTACTGCGAAACATGAATACTAAGACATCTGTAAGTTATAATTCTAGGTAACCAGAAATAGGCGAATACGAGTATACTTGAATGCAAAATTCCTAGTACTCATACTTGGGACTTTTTTTAACGAGTATTCCAAAAAAATACTCGAGTACTTCCCAAAAAACTGGTGACTTTTTTTTGCTATTTGTGTATCAAAAAATTCTATTTATTCGAAAATTTTTTCGGATTTACCGACTTCTTCAGAAAAAAGAAATACTCGAGTACTACTCGAATACTTTTCAGAAAATACTCGTACTCCTACTCGTACTCAAAAATCCGTGTACTCGTCCATCTCTGTAGGTAACTATGTTTGTCTTTTTTATGCCGAGTAAAACATAAGAGAAAACGTATACCGTCATTGCTCATGCATCTAAGAATCGTTCATACATCTGCGTGATAGTTTATGCAGAACAGCTGGGGAGAAGTTATACTGGTACCTAATCATCAGAATAAATTTCATACGTTTGCAAAAATTCTGTTGAAGATTTGCATACTAAACGAATTTATAGATAGTCTACGTAAATGTAATTTTATGGAAAACTGATAGTAACTCAGACTGTACTGGCAAGTGATTCGAGATGTCGACAGTTTCTTATTCTAATCCTTAGGATGTCAGTAGAAGAGATATCTAGCAGTTTTTTTGTAAGAAATGATAATATAAAACAAATTAGTATGAGATGTACCACATCTAAATATCGATATTGATACGCATTTATTTACTGATCACAAGTCGTTTCACAAAAAATATTATTATAAAAGTAAAAAAATGAAATATAGCCTGATAGATTTTAATAGTACAATATATCGTTAGCATTCTAACATGACACCTATGAAAAAATATTTTATTATGCTTTGCGAAAACTCGGTAAGTATGATAATATTATCTCACATTTAGAAACGTAAAGAGTCACTTAAGAGGGGTTCCCCACCTCGTTCTTCTCATCAGTTTGTAGAGAGCACTTCGGAGTATACGTTTTAACAAATTTTTCGATTCCCGGACTTGTAGTTTTTGATAAAAGGATTTTAAACTTTTTTCGGGTTTTTTGCCCCATTTTCAGAATTTTAATAAAAACAGTTTTTTATACGAAGAGTTGATTATGGCATAGTTTAATAGAGGACATTACATTGTATAAGGCGAGAAAATTTACATCGTTTTCGAATGAAGTTTAAGGCAGAAATTTAACTTTGACCTTCCCCGTGAAATTTTAGAGCTATAAGTATTTTCAAGAAAGTCTTACAGCTAGCTTCGAGCGAAGTTAGCCGTAAGATGCTGTGAAAAAGCCTTCTCTCGGTCAAAAACTAGCGAAATTTTCAAGTCTTGAATTTTTCGAAATTTCTCCATTCATCATAAAAACTTGGTTCTTGCGTAGATTGATAGAGAAATATGTGAGGAACATTTGTTACGAGAAAATATGAAAAATTTTTTGTTCTTTTCTATTTTTTTGGCTGCCCAGTAAGTCTGTTTTTGTTACACTAAAGAATTGGACAGGCTTTTTGAGCGCATTTTTTGAAAACAAAGAACATGTTGCGATTTTTAGTGGAATACAAACCGACTTCAAGGTCGTTTCTCTCGTAGTCCATGAAAGTCTCTACTAAATGAGGTATTGCTTGAATTTATTTGTTGACTCGTTATTTTATAAATAGGGCTTTAAGAGAGTAGAGTAGCATAAATTAACATTAATTAGTGCTGATTAACCAGTAACAGAAACGAAAGAGAACAAATTTTTACATTTTTTTATGTGCTAAATAATCTTCAGACATTTCTCCTTTGATGTCCCTACACACACACACACACACACACACACACACACCCCTTAACATAGATAAAAGAAAATAGGACCTCCATCTAATTTCGAAACGAACCAATATCCAAGATATTTTTTAAAATTCTTCTGATTCATGTTATTTGATGATCTTCACAGTCAGTATCAAACGAAGAACGTCTTGTCGATACTTTTCACTTTGCTTCCTACAATAACAAGTAAATAGGCAAGAGCTGCGAAAAAATCTCTAGACATTCGCACATATATGTCCATGAACGCTATTTATTTCGAAATATGCCATACATGTATATATCTACATGTATGCATTTATTCAAATATTTCTATCAACTGTTCTTTTTTATCCTTCCTAATCATCACTAATCATTTTTAACAAAAAAATGTCTACTTCACGTTGCACTTACGCCTTCAAAAAATCATTATCGTTCAAAATGACGTTAATTTTTCAAGAATAAATGTTCTGCTGGCTGTGTAAATTGTAATACAAATAGCGCACATGACTAAGAAAAATCTAAGACGGTCTGCCGTAGTTTGTGTAGTAAGAGAGTAGTTCTTCATATGCGATAAAATTTGCTTGATCAAACAGAGTACTTTCGATTGCAGATGAAAACAAAACCAAAATCCGGATTGAGAACCATGTAAAATACCGTTTGCACGAAGAAAAATTTCTTGAAAATCAAGTAAAAATAAACGTTCAAGCATTTTGAGAAAACTTTTCTATTTTTTGAAACATACAGATAATGACTCATGAGGACAAATATGCAGAAAAAAAGCGATATATCTCGATAAAAGTAGAAAAACTAATAGATATGACGATAAACTAGTTTTTATCCAGATAAACTCGGATGTCATGATATGTCAGAGCGACCGCTACATCGCGATATGAATGGTAACGCAGAGAACTCATCTCGCAAAAGCGAGCATCGAGAGTTTTTAGTAGTGCGACACATCGATAAGTCATCGTTCATCGAGATCGTTCATAGATAAAATTATTACCAATATATATCCCTACATTTTGTGTCTCAATATAGTGAAGCGTTCTGACATTCGCGATATATTTTAGTTATCGCAATAGGGAGTTGTGGACTTTGAAAGGTTCAGTTGTGGTTATATAAGATTAATTTGTTAATTCACTTTTTTTTCTGAATGTTCGTGTTAAAACATTAAAATCAGTATCACAGTGAATTATGATCAGTATATATTTCACTCATATTTTCACTTTTTGTTGAGATAACCTATAAGCACATTCATCCGACTGTTTTAAATCAAATCATTGCCTACTCCAATGAAAGTACCGGGCAAAAGATGTTTGTTCATCTTGAATGAAAGAAATATGTTTTACATTTTCTTTTCGTGTACAACAGTCAGTCATACATAAGCAAGTGTAAAATACAACAGTGATTCAATAGTTACCACGATTCTAGTACAAGAAATAGAGAAATTTTAAGATTTTGACTTTTATAAAATCGCTTTCATTTTTACATTTTCTTTTCAAGACTTTGAAGTAAACATCTTAATAAAAGATTTCTAAAAGCCAAAATCTAAGTTTCAAGAACTTGGACTGGGTAGACGATACCATTTTTGTTCTTGAGAAATTACCTTTTTTAGGCTGCTGAATTAATTATTCAACGAAAAGACTCTTTTATTGAAAAATTTGATGGCGTGAATAGAATTTTCTCTTTCTCAATTTTTTTCTCTCTCTGTTTTGCTCTATGTGTAGGTGAATGTATAGATAGATCTTAGTACTTTTGTTTCTGAAAAAACTCAGCCACTTTCTAAATAGCAAAAAGAAGAAAATACAGGTGACGTCGTTTTCTCTGTGTTGCAGAACCGATACATCCTTGAATTGTGAATTTATATACTAAGTGTAATTTGATATGTATTTGTGGTAGGTTGTTAGAAAACCTTGTACATTGTTTGTTGTGACTATTCAAAATCATACAGAAATTAAGGTCACGAGTACTGACAAGTTAAATTTTGAAAAAAAGCGTTGCTGTGTTGAATCTATCGCTTAATTTTTTTGTAGCAAAAAGACAAAATTTTATTTTTTAAAAAGAATATTTTACGGTTTTTCTCTTTCAATGTCAAGTACGTTGTTTGCAATGAAGCTATTAATCCATATGTACCATTTTTCAAATTTAATTATATTTACATTATGATTCTGTTCAGGTTGATCACACGGAACAGAGTTTTATAATGTAAGATGCAATCGACGGAAAATAATGGCTTACCTCTAAACACATCGATTAGTGGTAGACAGGTACGTCTATCAGATATTTCTAGCTGCAGTTAATCGAACAAAACATGTTTATGAAAATTGTAGTTTCAACTATTGTCTTTCATAACAAATACGAGTAATATCGTTGCACCGGGCCCTGAAACAATACATCAACCCAAGACAAATGATGAATTTCCAACAGCACCTGTAAAATCTCACTTTCAGGTATCGTTGCGATAAAGTTTTGGATTGTCATAGAATTATAAACAAACGTTAAGGCAAAAGGGTCTAACCCCATAAGAAATAGATAAAAAATAGATCTTAATGCTTGAAAGATACATCAAGGTATCAAGGAGGTGCTGTCGCAGTTTTCTTGATCAACTTTCACAGAACACATTCGTAAAATGCTTTCACTGTTATTTTATGATATCAGTGAGATATATGAAAAAACATATTGATACCGCCAGTTTTTAAAGATCAGAAAATGGGTAAAGATGAGTATTCGACAATTATTTGATTATATTTATAAATTTCAATTATACTACTAGTAAAAGTGGTATTTTTTGCTTTTGCTCTAGAATCCATACTGGATATTACCATCTAGTCGTCATCTTAACAAAAATAATGTTACTGTATTGCCGACAAAACCAAAGTAATTATTCATCTATTGTGTCTGATGCCAATACAACTGACAACTTTTTTTTCCTTCAAAACTATATGTTGAAAAATGCATGGACACAATATTTCATAACAACCAACGTTTTTACTATCTCGACTAATGTGATGTTCCCAGTGTTCCATTTCTGTTATTTTACGACAGCGCGTAACTGAACTATTTATTCTTTAACGTCATTAAATTTCTCTCTATTTAGTATATATAATAGTTTAAGAGTGCAAAGTGATTCACAAATTGATTCAAACTCTCGTTCTATTTTAGATGCAACCGAGTTGCATATGTGACAACTATGATTGCCGCCCTTATTGTTTTTATTGGAGTGGCAGTGACTATATGTGCTGCAATAAGTAATTAGTTTTAATCTTTTCTTGTACTTAAAGCTCAACAAGTGTATTTGTTTTAGAACCCTGCTTATTCACTAAATGTCATAAACAAGCATCTCTTTGCCTCTATAGATCAATATTTAAAGCACAATGTGTCTGCAACGATGGTTATGCAGGTTTGCATCGACTTTTTCCGCATCAACTGGCTAATTTTTTTTTAATCATGTTTTTGTTGCAGGAAATGGACGAACAGTTTGCGACGGTAAACAACTATATTCTTTTTTTTCTTTAATTTCAAACGATCTGACTTCTAACCTATCTCCTACTAATGATTTTTCACCTTACATAATTTTCTTGGTATGTAAAGTTGAAAATAAAATCTGATTCTAGAATGTGGTATACCAAGAGTACAACCGACAATGAGGATCGTCGGAGGCAATGAAGCAAAACCAAATAGTTGGCCATATGCAGTGTTGATCCGACAAGTTTATAAGAATATTTATACATTGAATGGCATCAAATATCTGGTACATATTTTTATATATGAAAG